GCGTTTGGTTCCTGATTTTGTGGGCAAGCTTTCGCTAGGTGACTTTCTGGTTTACAAACAGGTAGAGGTGAAAATTTGCCAGATCGTGCCCTTAAAAGGTTATTAAGAAAGTGGATGGGATTTTTTTTTTTAATGTCATCCAGGTGTATACTTGCCTTCTTCTAAAGCTGAGGATGTGGTCGGTCATACTTTTTAGTGTTGTTATTTTGAAGCATAACTTGAGATTATATCCTTTTTGAAGATGTTTTCAAATTCAGAGTTTACAGGAACATTCTCCTTTGCAGTATTATTTTTTGAGCCGCAGTTAACATTCGTAGTGATTGTTTCTTCTTCTTTCTTGTCCAAATATGCACATGTTCGGTTGTTTAAGATTTCTGAGATGATATCTTATTGCTTTGAGACCAATTAGTTTCCCCCATTGCAAGAGTGTAGCTTTAGAGACTTATATAAAGACTCGTCTATTGCATGGATAATAATGGCTTGATCTTTTGTGGTGAAGAGTTGAGGTTCGCAGCGTGGAAGTAAGATTTTGTGGAGTTGTTAATTTCCTTTTGGGTTTGAATTTGAATTTGAATTTGAATTTGGGGGAACCCTTGTACTCAGAAGTGATCCCAGTAGATTGGTGTTGGTTAATCGGTGTGTTTCATATTCGTGTTTCGATCCGTGTTTTTTTGGAACACGGGATCAGCACTGTTTTCACTAACACTTATGCTTTATATTTTCACTATTTTGTGTGGAATAGGTACACATGAGATACTGCATCGGACGACGGTTAAACCGAGACTGATAAAATTGTATTTTTCGGAACATCAAAATATAAGGTATAAGTATTATATCATATCTTATGAGATGTCGAAGATTTCTAATATTAATGAATATTCGCACGTCCCGTTCTACGGAACGTATCTTCTATAATCGTTTCTAATCATTTGTCAGTTTGTCAAAGATAAATTTGTCACGATATGTGTATTGGTGCACTCTCTTGTTGGAAATATTTCACATTCATTAAAGGGGAACAGCATGAACGAAAAACTTTTACAAAACTTCTAATTATGTCTATCGAACATTCCACTGTTGGTAAATGTACTTTCTGTCTGTTCGTAAAATTTTTCGAAGGGAATTTATATCGTTTTCCACTTTGTGGTGGAGAAGAATTGAATTTCATCCTCCGGAAGTGAAGTGTGTCCAATCGATACGAGAAGTGTGTCCAAACGATATGTACGAAACTTTTAGAGAGTTCCTTGGACAGAACTTTCTCTAATATCATACTCTTCCACTATTTATTTGCAGATTAAATCCGGCATAATTATATTTATAATTTAATGTTATATTCTTGCTACTTGTCTCACATTACATTTCGAAAATCTGTCGTATTTCCGTAAATTATGTTCAAGCTGGGGAAGTATATTTGCTGTGTTCGATCGGGAACATGCATTATTGTAGATTCCAGCAGTGTCCAGGAAATTTTTATTGCAAAGTATGAAACAGGAGAGCACTTTTTCACTTATCAGCATCCCGTGCGAAATTTCACTTGCTCTAACGATAGATGATCGGTAACTGAGAAAATCTATATACTCATCGTTAATCTTGTTTTTCGTGCTCGAGAGGTCGAATGTTGTTGACAAGTTTCGAATTCGCAAGTGTTTTCAACGAGCACGTGGCTGATGGAAAATATATCGATATCTCACAAAGTATTGATTTTTTTTTTAAACATTAACTAACGTTAATCAACGTGTTTTACATAGAGTCGATGTGAACAGAAATAAGCATAGATAATATTGAGTATTTCATTAAAAAAAAAAAAAAAATTGCATTTGCATTTTCCACCTTTGAAGAAAGTGAAGTGGCAGGAAAATAATTATCACCTCTTCTCTCCAAATCTTTTCAC